AAATGAAGTATCGATACTGTAGTGGTAGTACCGATACTACTAAGCATGGAATGAGAAATTAAGTGTTTTTTTCAGCTTAAGTTATATTGACTGAATATAAATGACTTAAAGTACGATATTGATTTTCTATTGCTTTGTGTAGTTGTTGAACATAATCAACTTCTGGTCAACTCGACGTTATAAGTATCAACCCAAAAGCGTTAAGGTTTCACTTAGGATTCAGTGAGGCAAAGGTTTGAAGAAATCAGAAGAGTAAAACTAGGTGTGGATAGCGTACACTCTTGAAGATCAGATCAAAACAAATTAAATGTATGTGTTCTGTAATATTGTAAACTGTTGGCATGTACTACGCGTTTAATTTGGAAATGCTCTAATCTATATTTTGTAAACTTCTACTTTTGTACTTGTGTAAATTATTAAAACTTTGATGAAAATATATGAATGTGAATTTTATTAGTTTATTTTAAATTAAGGGTTTTTACCTTTTATTTATGAGTAAAAATTTTAAATTGTTCTTATTTGTTAATTATCTATGATTTAAAAAGTCAATGTGACACCCCGGATTCGTATCCGGGTCGGGTACATGTTAGGGGTGTTACAATTTCTCCAATGATTCAAATTTAAAATTTTATTTAAACGATATCAAATTGCTTACCACTTGAACTAGTTCCTGTAATTAACTTTAGCTTTCCATTTACTTAAAACAAATGGCTGAAATGTTTGGTTCAACCATTTTAAAATTAATTTCTCGATTATTAACATGATTTTAGGGAACACAATTAATTCTTTCTTTTTGTTGTTAAGTCGGAAAGTTATCATTGGCATTTTCAAACTCTTTTCTCATTAATTGAATTTGACATTTGGATCCTTGATAGTCTCAAACAATTATTTATTGTCCTGCAAAATTTAATTTTCTTGTTGCAAAATTTTATTCTAAATAGTTAAACGAGAATTAAATTCATAAAACTCATTCCATTTATTCAATATTAACCATTAAGTCAACTTTACCTAACTCAGAATCTGTATCTAGATCATCTTCATTTTGTGCATCATGGATAGTTTACACATTAACAATAATAAAAGTAATATATTTGCTTTGTTCACCATCTTTATTGTCATTGTATTTCAAGAGGAATCATAGTAACACCCTAAACTTGATCCATTAACACGATATGTCACATTTGAATCTTTCGAGCGATTTAATATTTGATCCATAAATATTTTGTCACATTAAAAGTCCAAAATCACATTTCAATTATAATATCATCTACAATGACAGGTTTAATGAAAATATTTGCTACAAAATATGAAATTTCGACACATTCGAGTTTAAACAAAATAACCAAATAATCAATACGTCCGTATTATTTTCTCAAGCGTTTGACACATCTCGTGTGATAACATTATTTTCTGAATGCCATTCATGGCTGCTAGGTAAGATATCTCATGCATCCGTATTATTTTCTCAAGCACCACTCAAAGCTGCTAGTTAGTCAATTATTCGCATTCGTGGTGCCTATAGCGCTCCCATATTATTCACCTAAATCACCATTAATTTATGCTCGACTTGATTCACATTTAGCATGTTATATGCGCGTGTATTACTCATTCAAGTCTCATTCCATATTTATCAAGTCTTAGCAACACACCTGAACAATTCGATGATCAAGTAACTAGCCTTTTTTACCCAATGGGTACTGATACTTACATTTATGGTATTCATACTCTATAGAGGTATCGATACCAAAAATTGACTCGATGTTCTCTCATTATCAATACCATGCCACAATATCTATGCTTAGCCCCATGATATTGATACCCTATAGAGGTATCGATATGAGAAAGTAGATTGATGTTTGCACGATATCAATATCCTATGGAGGTATCAATACCATAAATTAACTCGATGTTACCCACCATCAATGCTCAACTCTTGGTATCGATACCAAATAAACAAGTATCAATATCATACGTCCAAGTTGCCCATATTTCATGATTTTTAGAAGGTATCGGTGCTACAAGAATAATATGGATACCAAAGTTCATAATTGATCTCCTAAGGTCTTATAAATCATCTTGGCTTTAATCATCCCCTTGACCCCCCAAATCCATCCTTAAGGCCACTAGTTCTATCAATGCATCATTTATAGCTAATTCCAATGCAAAATCATCATATATGAGTAAATTCATTCAATTTGACATAACACACACCAAACATACCTTTCATCATACAAGGTACTACATTTATGGTTCATACGAATCTACTAAGAATAGATGAAATCTTCTAGTTCTTTTTATATGACCTTAAACCGGTCGATCTAGCCATGAGCAGGTTGAAGATAGCTCTATCAGGCCTTGGAGGACCGAACCCACGTATGTGGCAAAATAAGAAGATGACTTGTGGCTAGGGGTGAAAGGTTAACCAAGATCGGGTATAGCTAGTTTTCAGCTACAGTCACTTTCTCGGTCTTTCTTCAGCTCGAGCTTATTTTAGGCCCTAGTTTTGAATAACCAAAAACAACTCCTGCCCCTTTGTAAGCTGCAGGGGAGTTGGCTTATGTCCTTGCTCAAAGGCCTTTGCTCGTGTAAGAGAATTCGACGGTCAAAGTCTAACTATTGGAGATGTTCTTTATTTATGCACCATTGAATTAGTAGCTACAATCAGAATGCAAGATGCGATACATCTCATTCATTATGTCTTCGCCTCTCACTTTTTCTTCATCCAGGCGATCGACCTTAAAATAGGGTATCCTTTCAAGGTATGTCACCCCAACAAGTTGGACAAGTTGGGATTGAGGGGCTTTGGTGATCCAAGAAGGCTCACTATTCTTCTCTTCAAGCTTTATCTTTGCATCTAGTTTGGGATGGTTCTCCCACTTCGTTCACTAAACATAAAGATGATAAAAGGGATTATAACACGAGCAGAAGTGGATAGAAAGTTAGAATACAAACTCTTAACCCCAAATCTTCCACAAATCTCTCCCAAAGCCAAAACTCTACTAAAATCCTAACTCACCATTCAACCTTTAATATGGAGATTTGCATCTCAAAATCGAGCTTAAATGGTGGAAATAAGTTTCTTGCCTCAAATGATTGCTCTAGCAACACCAAAAACTAAGAAGGATTGAGAAAGAAGAAAGAAGAAAGAAGGGACATAGGTTTGAAAAATATGGTATGTAGAAATGATGTCAGTCACCCTCTATTTGTCCCCCAACCCACGCCTATATCAATATTATGAAGTCAAGTCTGATTTGCTTTGCAAAAATGGGGAAACTATATATTTAGACCCCTTACTTACTTCCTCATTCAAGGACAACATCTTATATCACGCATTGGGCTTCAACTCTTCTCTAACGAGGTCCAAAACATCTAACAAGCCTAATACACTTCATTACATCATCACTCTAGGATATATTTATGGAATTCTTTTTCTTCATGGTATTGACACATTTAGCTTGAGTCTCGCATTCATAGCAATTGATTCCCTTTTTCTTCTCTTCGTTTATTTTCTATTAATCTAGTGTTTGAACATGAGATTTATAGGAATAACAACCCTATTATAGTTTTTAGCTAACCTAGAAAACTAATTATGGATTTCATCAACAACAGTGGTTAAAGCAATGACGAACTAGTCCATACACTTGAAAGATCAGATTTTTATCTTTCTTAATTTCATTCAAGTTGAGTTCAAATGTCGGATGGGATCTATCTAACAAGCTCATCTACTATCATAATTTCCAGATTTTTAGCTTCCTTAATGACAACCACCTTGATCACAAATATTTTAAAAAGATACCTTAAAATAGACGTAACACATTTTTTTGTAGAGTCTAAGACTCAAATTTTCTTTAAGTAGGTCTTTTTAATTGTTGTCGAATTTATTCTATAAATGGGTGATCAAATATTTCTTTTCAAACAAGAAACTTCCCCTAAAATCCTTACTTGAAAAAAAAGTAAACTTCACACGTCAAACTTGGCTTTGTCAAACAAAGTTACTTGGGAAACAACGTGTTTCATTATTAATGTTTCATCTTCAAGAAATATCTCATTAAAGTATCAAATCTATCCCCGTTGAGTCATAAATCTGCTCAAATATTTTTTTTATGATAAACCAACCCAAAATGTTTGGTTTTCGAACCAATGAGAATTATTTGAAATAGACTTAGTATTTGTATTCAGAAAATATCCAATATGGAATAATCCTAAATAAAGTCGCAGAACCATTCGAACAAAATATGCCAACAAAATAAATTTAAAACACCATGGTTGAAAATGTCCATATCAATGGTTGACCTAGAGCACTACCTCAACCATTGGTGAAGAAAAATCTGATTCCGTAGCTTTTGCAACGACTAGGGATGGACGCGGAACTGAAGCTTACGGGTTATGACTCGACCCGATTGAATTTGGTTGGATTTGTTTAAAAAAATTCGGGTTTGGATCTGGTTTTTTGAGGATAAGTTTCGGTCATATCGAGTTTGAGTTTAGTGTGAAAAATACCTGACTCGACCCGAAAAATAATATAATTATGCTTTATATATATAGTGATAATTGCAGTTATGCCCCTCTTTATATTATTTTTTTCATTTAAGTCCCTATTTTATTAAATAAAATTAATAATTTTATATTATTTCGAGTCGGGTCAGGTTGGAGTCGAGTTTTATCTCAAAAATCGGGTTGGGTTTCGGGTATGATGAAATTTCCCTAAACTCGGTTTGGGTCGGGTTCTGGGCGGAGGGTATAAAATTTTTAGGTCGGGTTAGGTTTCCGGCCAACTCGACCCATGCCCCCCTTGCACCAACAGAGATTAACAATGTGTTAATCTTAGACTTGTCTTCAACTTATAATATACAGTATAATGAAATAGGAAGTCACCCGTTGTGAAGACTGATAATATATTCACCAATGTATTTATCAAGATTAGTATGTTATGCATATTGCAAGTTCCGCTTCCAACAAAGCTGTCCTTTACATGGCTTTAGAAAATTTGAGTGCATAATCTGTTATATTCTTGTGCTGCCTATGAACATCATGTCCTGCTGCTACTGCACCGCACCCACCTGCCATCCGTCCAAGGGTACGAGCTAGGCGATGACAGGCAACCGATCCCCACAGTATCGCTGAGCGGGTACACTCGATTTCTTTTTCTTTTTTTTTTGGTCGAAAGTTCTTTTACAAATTGCTACTTAATTCCCCTCACTACAGCAAAATAGAGTTTTAGCGGCGTTTTTTAGTCTTATATCAGCGTTTTTAAGCGCCGCTAAAAGTATTTGCGACGATAGGAAAAACGCCGCAAGAAGCGCAGGCAATACCAACGCCGCTAAAGTTAGCGGCGTTTGAGAACAAAAAACGCCACAATAGGTCAATATCTATTACGGCGTTTTTTGAACAAACGCCGCAAAAGATCGATATCTATATCGGCGTTTTTGGAATAAACGCCGCAAAAAGTTATGATATATAGCGGCGTTTCTAGAAAAAACGCCGCAAAAGGTCAGATCTATAGCGGCGTTTTTGGATAAAAACGTCGCAAAAGAGAAGACATATACTGGCGTTTTTAGAACAAACGCCGCAAAAGGTCAGACCTATAGCGGTGTTTTTGGACACAAACGCCGCAAAAGGTCAAACCTATAACGGCATTTATGAACTCAAACACCACAAAAAGTCATATCTATAGCGGCGTTTTTGGATACAAACGCCGCAAAAAGTCATATTTATAGCGGCGTTTTTGGATACAAACGCCGCTAATTACCTTTCTTTAGCTAATATTAATTGATTTTGCATATTTCATTTCTGCTATACATCACCTAAATTTATATCTAGCTTTATCTAATTAACAACAACCATACATTTTAATTAAGACAAAAAACATAAAGAAAAATACTTAACAACAAAATAAATTAAAGTTTTTTTATGGAGAGAGAACCTTAAAAGACATTAAAGTACAAATGAGTTATAACTGAACCTCAAAGTGTAGATATACATGGATTTATTGTTCGATACATCCTCAATTTCACTAGCATCATCATCATAACCTCCAGATATGCCTTCTAAAGCTACTTTGTTTCCCACTTCATTGGAATTTGTCATATTCATCGTCTTGACATCTTATTTAAAAGTATCATTTGACAGTGAATGATCTCTCCTCAATAGATTAAAAACAAATGGGAAACGCTGTGCCAGTCTATTGAAGAAGCCGCTTTTTGTTGAAGTTTGTTCTTCAAGATTACTGCGATTACAATAATTTAGATGAGACTAAGAAGAGAAGGAAACAACCAGCAGAACTTGCATTCATAACATACATGTGAATGATTGAGAACTGAAAAAAGATGTTGCAACAAACAACAAAAACAGGAAGTCAGGAACCATGAAAACTAAAATAGAATCATGATGTACTTTATAAAACTTTCACATTTCGTTGAGTATGAAGGGTTTTTTTAATGAGGTCTCCCATTTCTAAAAAAAACAATTAAAAAGAAAATCAACGTACTTGTTTAGCATGGCGGTAATATTGTTCCTTGCGTGACAAAAGAGATCGATGTTATCCTGTAACTGTTTAGAAAAGCTTTAATCAATAAGCCAACCTCGGAATACTGTAAGTGTTAACAAGAATCATACATGATAAGGCAATCACATACAAGATTCGAAGAGCACTTTGCAAAAGAAGAATAAATAGAATCCATAACACTTCCTTTGAAAGATGAGTTCCACTTACAACAATAAACAATGAAGAGCACGAATGCAGAAGTACATTTATATGCCACCTTATATCAGTTTGCAAATGAAGCTAAAAGTTTTGGACAACAATGCTAGATCCAAAATTTTTTTATCTTTAATAATTTCATCAGTGATGATTCTCATAGTCTCACTCTAAATCCATCAACACTAATCAATTAATAAAGGAATCATTATCACCTAAGTTAACCTCCTGAACTTTACTGCAAACACTTACATAACTTGCAGACTAAACATTAAAAAGTAGCATAAACAAGAAGGCATAGAATTCATCACAATAACACCTATCAATTACTACATGGTTGCATATGATGATCAAAGAAAGGTTATGAACCAGGGAATGATACCTTGTATGCAGAAAGATTGGATGTGATTTGGCTAAGAGTTTGAGCATTTTGCTTCAAAATATGCATAATTGTACCGCATATTCCTAAGAACATACGACAAACAAGCAGATTAAACAACTAAACAATACAGCAGGCATAATTTGCAGATTAAACATTAAAACCTCGCGAGTAACTACAATAGGTTTTCCATTAAGTAAAACCTCACATAAACTAAAAAGAGAAGGGAAGAATAACATATAAAATTAAGGAAATAAATAAATAAACAGAATTAGTTTGATAATTTCAAGGAAAATGGACACATGGTGTCTAAAGCCCAAATTAGAAGAAATTTACTTTAACAACACAAATAGACAAAGTTGGGCGTATAAAACAATCAGAGTATAATTTATATATGCAAAGAACAGTCTAATAAACTCTTTAGCTTTACTGTTAAATGCCACAGGTGTTTAGGTTGTGCTATTATTTCGCAGATATTCACTGAGTAGCGACTAGACTGAAGCCAGCTGCTAGAATCATTCTTTGACCTCATAAAAGAAAGATCAATCTCTATTGTAGAGTATAACTTTTACATTGCTGTTAAGTTTTCAAAGTTTTCAAAGCCAGATATTACAGGAAGTCAAAAACAGCTTCATGGTTTCAAAACTTTATAAAACTCCAAACTCAGAGAATTATGATGTACAACTCCAGTCACAATTGAATGATGAGTAAGCAAGAGAGAGTTCAACATGAATACACTTTATAAAATGATCTTAAGGAAGAGTTCCATATTAATTAGTTCTATATGAAGATTAAGACCCTTTAGTTAGATGGATCACTTGACAATTATGCGTCCAAACTTGAACCTAAATTGTAGGCACTTTACCTGTGATAAATCTAATTTTGAATAGAATTTCAGGAATTGAGCTTGCAAATGCACTACTTGTACAGAATTAAAGAAATTGAAATATCAATTGCTTTAATGTTAAATTTGTGGACCTTGGATTTCAAAGTAATCATTACTTCAATAAACCCCAATTCTGTAGACATCATAAAATTTTCAACGACAATTTTATTCACTCGGCTAAAATGTAAGAAAGCATCTCAATTTCACAGTTCACGGCACCATCACCTAATAACAAATAAGTGATTTCTTAACTTTCCAATCATAGGCAAACGACAACAAATTTAGCCAAAATTAGTTATGGTAAGCATAATCCTAAGTAAACAAGTGTAGTAAACAGAGTCAACGGATTAAACTTGAGTAAACTCATGTAGTATGTCTCTATCACTTCGTTTGACTTGTGCAAGTCCAAACCCGAACAAGACGACCTGACCCCCCCGACTCCATGGCCGCCCCAATTCCACTCCATTCTGGTCATGAACAACAGTGTTATTCACGAAGTGATCGACCTCTGGTACGATTGGCCCAACGGAAGAAACTTCAACATCATCCAGCACCAGCTGGGGAATGTCCTCCACGATCTCGAGTGGAACAACGGGACTTCCTTCTTTTACACCCTCGATTCCTCCAAAACCTACAGCAGCGTTCAGCTCGAGGTCGGGATTTTACGCCCCGACTAGCTCGACGGAGCTACGTACTTGGGTCAGCGAGAGGCGGACGGGTTCGTTTGCAATGTGTGGGAGAAAGCGGATTTCATCACGTATTTTGAGGATGTGGTCACTAAGGGACCCGTTCTCTAGATCTTCTACACCGGCGAGTCTAACTGATTTCGATTCAGTTCAATTTTAATCTGATGAATGAAGGTGAAAATTGAAAGTGTAGGGAGGGAGGCGCATGTGATGACATTTGAGGCGGGAGCAGTTCTTGATGATTCCAAGTGGCAAGCCCCCATATACAGCTTTCACAACACCACCAAAACCACCACCCACAGATTGCTGGGTGGAGCTCTCAAAGGTTTCAAAAAAAGGTTAAAGGGCGCGACACTTAAAATTTGTAAACTTGCGGCGTTTGTAAACACAAACGCCACTATAGTACAAGTGTATAACGGCGTTTGAATAAAAATGCCACTAAAGTACGCGTCTTTAGCGGAGTTTGTATAAAAACGCCACTAAAGTATGAGTCTTTAGCGGCGTTTGTATAAAAACGCCACTAAAGTACAATTCTATAGCGGCGTTTGTATAAAAATACCACTAAATTACGAGTCTTTAGCGGCGTTTGTATAAAAATGCCACTAAAGTACTACTCTTTTGCGGCGTTTGTTGAAAAAACGCCACTATCGATGAACCTATTGCGGCGTTTTTATAAAAACGCTGCTAAAGTTACCATTTGTGGCGTTTGCTATGTAAACGCCGCTATATGTTTAAAATTAGTGGCGTTTACTCCTAAAACGCCGCTAACATCGCCGCTGTAGAACAATTTTGTTGTAGTGCCTTCATTCATGCTACTTCAGACACTGTATATATTTCATGTTTGTTGTTTTCTGGTGAATTCAGTTACGTAGAGAAAGAATCGCTGAAAGAATGAAAGCTTTGCAAGAGTTGGTTCCTAGCTGCAACAAGGTTCGGATTTTCTTGGCTTGATTTATAAACGTTTTGTGTAATTGTTTGCACCTCCATTCGATTATTCGATTAATCTTCTTCAGACTGATAGGGCAGCTATGCTTGATGAAATTTTAGATTACGTGAAGTTTCTTAGACTTCAAGTTAAGGTATTAATATCTAAAATCTCGATATTGATCTTAACTAAGATTCGTTATGAGTGCGAAGCACATTATTGTTCATTTCTTTTCTCCAACAGTGAATTTCTGTTATAGATTACTTTTTCTGTACGTCATCAATTTTGCTGAATATTTGAACAGGTTCTGAGAATGAGCAGACTTGGAGCAGCTGGTGCTGTGGCTCAGCTTGTAGCCGATATACCCCTATTATCCGTTGAGGTAACATGGAATAATCATAATTCTTAATCTGTGAATCTTGCCGTCTGAAATACTAAGCATGCAAATTTCTCAAAGTATGAATGAAAACATTACAAAGGATATAATGACTTGTATGTTAAGGTATCTCATTTGTTGTTGTCGAAGTTCCTTATTACTTTGGAATTTATGAATGAACATTATTTTACACATTCCCATGCTTTTTTCTATGAATCTATTAACTGGATCATGTAGTTGGCTGTCTTCAGACCTACCGTGTTTTCTAAGTTATTTTCATTTTATGAACAGGGAGGTGGTGCTGGAGGTGGAAGCCAAGCTGCTTGGGAAAAATGTTCAAATGATGGCACCGAAAAGCAAGTGGCTAAGCTGCTGGAAGAAGACATTGGAGCTGTCATGCAGTTTCTTCAGTCCAAGGCACTCTGTATCGTGCCGATATCACTGGCATCTGCGATCTTCCCCACACGTCAACCGGATGCATCAACAATTGTCAAATCCGATTCGAACATGCCTTCATAAAGATCAAAACCAACATCAGGATGCGTGTAGAAATCATTCCTAGCTCACTCGCAATAGCTGTTTTGTGCATCGAACCAAGCTCCGACTCCGACCAGCAACGTCAATCTATTTAGAACAAACTTGGAAGGTGTTTTGATGCTATGTCCTATGGTGTAATGTCAAGGGAAAACATAATTCCAATGGTGGATTGATGTATTCGTCGTTCTAATGTCCAAAGTTGGGGTGAGTGAAGGATGACAAAAAATAATGGTGGGACATTATTTAATTGTTAATGCTAATGATTTTTGTGAATATTGTTTCTAAGAGTTTTTCTTTTTCTCCTGTGCTTGATTTTATATGCATGAACCTTGTTTCATTTACCTGTTCGATTATGTATTTCAAGATCACACCGAGTTCTCTAGCTCACTCCTTTAATTATTCTCTCTTTTCAAATAATTTAAGTCACGATGAATTAAATTCAATACTTCAAAAGAATTTAAATCTCATATTTGTAATCGTTTAAAAATATTTTTGAGTAACATAATTAATTTTATTTAACGAAAAATTAATACATTGTTTTCGTGTCTAATCTGACTTGTTTTTAAATTTTTGAATCTCATCTTAATGACAAATAAGGTTTTTAATTCGTTCATATTAACAAATAATTTTTAAGCTATTTCGGTAGTTAAAACTTCTAAATTTGACTATAATATTTTAATCGAATTTAGACGATTACCAATAATACGATAAAAAAATTCGATATGTATCGTTTTTCACATGATGAAATGACTTAGATCCAAATCAATTTTTCGATACATATATTTTTCTCGTATTAGATGCATTTCAAACTTTAAAATTTTCATTTTCCCCTTAAATATTGATAGATCAATAACAAATACCAAAGGAAAATAATTACAAAATGGGATTTGATTTATCTTTTAAATCAATAATATAAAATTTCCTTGTTACATGATACATGTAAAAAAAGGAAAACCTTATGAATCTTATACGTTTCCCTGTGTACAAATTCTACAAAAATTAATGAGAATCATGTATAGAAAAAACCCATAAAATTTGTACAATTATGGCTCTAGTCAGGGATTTAAATAGTGCTCTACTTTCATAATAACAACTACTATATAACGGTAGTTGTGTAGTCTAAAATTATTATTGTATAATTGCGATACTAATAATCACGGAATAATTTCGACTATGTCATCAACGTAACACAACCGAAAATACGATCACAACCGCAATTTAAATCCATGGTTCTCATACAACACAACCCAATCCTCTTGCTTCTGATCGTTTTATGATTCTCAGTCTTTTACAAGAATTAACGAACATCCTATATATATAAAAAAAACATAAAATTTGTAAGCATTTCATGTTAGCTTAAGTTGAAAAATTAATGAATTTAATATGTATTATAGGGACAAGAACTTACTCCCATGGTACATCTCCAACTAACATCCAGTCACCATCTTTATCTTCATACGTAGGCACAAATTCTGATCCATTGTATCCTTCCCTTTCTGAATATTTACCAATTTTGAACTTGAACATGTCTTCCAAGGCCTTAAGCAATTCTGGGTATCCCTTGTAAATCTTTAAATCTATCTTCCTAAGATAAGCAGCTCCATCCATGCTAACTTTGATGTACATTCCGATTGTTTCCTCCTCGGTTTTCATCGTTCGGAGGCTGTTTTTTCTGTAAGATCGAATCGGCGGCCAACCTACGACTTGTGCCCTGCGATGTTACATGCATATATCATCAGTAACCATTGATCAACGAAAAGAAACTATATAAACAAAGATGGATTTTTCGCAGCTGCGCCACTAGAATATTCATTCATATCAGGCAAGGCTCTTTTGTTGCTGATCCTAAGAATTGTAGAAGCTTGCCTCTCCGACTCCTCTGATGTTCCTGGTAGGGCCTAATCGGAGCTCGGTCTCATCAAGATTAAGATCTTTCTCAAATGCCATACTTTCAGATAATCAGATGGATTGATTGAATCGATATAACGCGTTTTGCTACAACAATATTTTGAACTATGTGCTATATATAATTCAAGAAAGGCTTAGATCACGATGAAGAACACACATGCATGTGTTTAAAGTCTTGGGACATTTCTATGGCACTTTATAGAAAGGGAATATGTGGTGATAAAGGATGTTTGGTGCATGAATTTGGACATAGGGCAGCTAAGATGTTTGTCACATGAGTAGCACAATTTAGGCAGTTGTCCTAAAAATATAGGGACAAGGTTGGGACAATGTCTAACCGCCCATTTAAATATTGATGAGGTCTGTGATATCAGAAAAAGATTAGACGGTTTCAGATGGTTGATCAATTTCCTAGGGAATAAATCTAAAGCGTTAGATGTAATGACTTATTTTTTATTTGGGTTGCCCTACTTATTTTACTTCGTCTTATTAATCTGAACCAACGTACATCGTACATCAAGTTTTAGTGGGTGCGACTTTTAATAGGAATTTTTATATATACAAAGACTTGAAGTTGAGATTTTACTTAAGGGATATCAAACTGCTTACTACTTGAACTAATCCTAATATTGGTGATGTAATGCCTGATATTAAGTGACTTGGGTTGAGTCCCACGTGGGTTGTTGTTGATGGGTAAGACATGGTCTAATTTAGGGCTTTAATTTGATACATAAGTATGGGTGGCCTTACATGTGGGCATGGTCACCTTATGGAACAAATTACCTCACAGTGATAAGGACATTAATTAAACCACATGAACGTTTCAAAAAAAATGTTTTGGTTTTATTTTCATATATCGTTAATACAGTTTAAAATTTTCGGTGAAAGTATATGTCAGACCTCGTTTGCTGTTTATAAAATGTCAATTAATGTTTAATCAACTGGATATTTTGATAGCTTTTATGGTTCTACAAATGAAATATTTTTATTCAGAGTTGCATTATATATGGAAAAATAATCTTAGTGTCATTTTAAATAATTCTCGATAAATTCTAAATCTAATTATAAGCATACTTAGAGAGAAAGTGAAAGAAAGCTTTAAGGGAAGAACGGAGAGTATTCCAAGTGGATTTAAAACTTATAACCTAAGGGAATATGAGAGAATAAAGATGAGCAACTTCAGGGACGGACGCAAGATTTTATATTAGGAGGGACGAACTTATAAAATTTCAAGTATGAGAGAACTTATAAGATTTTAAAGTGGTGAAAACATATTTTTAATAAAAAAATATAAGGAAAATATCTAAAATATATAAGAATTTGAAATTTTTAGGGGGCGATCACACCCATCCGCCCCTCTAGGTTCATCCCTAAGCAGTTTGACCATCTGACCAAATGTATTTACTCTTAAATAATAAAGATTGAATTTGAAAAATTTTAACATTATTTTATTTTAATTTATTAATAGGATTAAATGGCAATTTTATAAAATTTAGTTTTTTTATTGTATTACTAGGTTGACTTAGACGATTAACTCGAGTTTGATCATCTAGGAGAAATTCTAGCCTTGTGTCACAATCAAGAACCCCACTCTTCTCCTATCAAACTCATGTCACTTTATTCTTGAACCAATTATTTTTTTTAGTGAAATTACTTGATCCCTTTATTACAAGGATTGAATCAAATTAATCTTTCTATTATTAAATATATGAATTTAATTTTTTATCATAAAGATTGATTCAAATTAATACTCTGCTATTACGAGAATCAATTTAATCTCAATATTATAGTTAATAATTATTGTAAATTATTGTTTTAATTAATAGAGTTAATAATTTTTAAAGCTTTTTAGTTCTACAAATAAATATATTGTTTGGAGTTTAAATGCAAATTAAAAATAATTTTATTATTATTTTTTGAACAATACATGTTATCTTTGTAAAACCAATGGGCTTATTATTATTTTTTTACTAAGACAAGGACTAAATAATTCATTTAATAGTATAAGAACTAATTTGAATTAACCTGAACACTCTAATTACGAATGAGCTTAAAGTGCTACAGTAGGTTGTCGAGGCAACAACTAAAATTAAAAATCTTTTTTGTTTCCATTTAAAACACAATATGTTTACCCAAAATAGTCATTCAATACAATTATAAAAATGCTTTAATAAATCGGAACTCTGTGACACATAATTTAAATCAAAATAATACAACTCAAAGTTTCAAATTTGAATACAATAATAAGGGTCATATGAATACACATGCCCACTAAAAGCTACAGTACAATACTCTAGAAGAAATGCTGGATGTCATGCTATGATAGTGGTCCTCATACGACTCAAACTACTAACCTGCGAACGGAAACATCCGAACATTGAGCTTACAAAGCTCATCAGTATAATCGCTAATCTAGAGCAGCATTATGAATCTCATAAAGATAAGCATGCTAAAAGACATGGTGATAAGCAGTAGGTACATGCATGATCATAATCAAGTGCTACCTACTTAAGACTCAACAATTCTATCACAAAGGTATGAGTCTCATGCTTTTCTTAGTCTCCGTATTGAGTTAATCGATCGACGAAATAATCAAAAGGGGGTGAATTGGCAATTAAAATTTTGGTGGAAGCTTTTGGAGAAAAAAGAAAATTTGTACAGCGATTTAGAGACTTTCTCAACCAAAGTCTACGTCCACTACCTTAGCTATCCACACTAAAGATTTTCCAACAAATTCACTAATTTGTTCTTTCTTTTAGGACAAAGAGTAATCTTACAATTCCCTCAAGAATTATACCCCAAATTCTTGATAACACTCTATCTCAAAGAGAATTACACAAATTTGCAAACTTACAGAAAAACCTCACAAGGCAAGAAATACAATTGAGCACAATAAGTGTTCTTGAAAGAAAAATGAATATTGAAGGAAAATTTGGTTTGAAATGCTTAAACTTGAGGTTTGATGCTTTCTCTTTGATTCTCTAGCTTATCTTCTTAATTGTTGTTAATCAATGGCTCCTAAGCTTGTTTAAATGCACCTTGAACCACTTCTGAACGTTGGCGATCATTGGTGAAGTCAATAGAGCCGTTATGGTGTGAAAATCATTTAATAAAATAATTGGGAGTGTGTGTGCATCGGTACACCATCAAGGTGCATCGGTACACTGTGTGTAAAATTCAAATATTTCGACCGTTATAAGACTTAGTGCATCGGTACACTGTGTGTAAAATTCAAATATTTCGACCGTTATAAGACTTAGTGCATCGGTACACTTGGGATGCATCGATACACTAATTACATTCGATGTTTTAAAAGAGCCAGTAGTGTATCGATACATGGTCTGTGCATCGGTACATCAAAAGCATTCGATGTTTCAATAAAACCTGGAGTGCATCTATGCATGGTATGTGCATCGATACACATAATGCATTAGATGTGTAATTAAAATAGGTGTGTATTGATGCATTCATTAGTGCATCGGTACATCCCTTTGAAAAATTAATTTTTGGCTCGATTAAGGTTTGAAATACTTTGTAAAAATTGTTTCAAAAATATTCTAAGTTTAAAACACAATTTTACACTTTAGTAAGGATTGAAATTGACCTTTGAAAAACTTGGAGTAATATTTTGATATTCGAATAATTTAATCGAATATGATTTAAAACAAATGATTATAAAATCTTAAAATTCAATAACACTTAATTTGTTATATCGAAATATCAAAATGTTTTCAACACTACGGCTACGAGTCTCGCCATGAGTATACGTATATTGGATCTCTCACCACAAAACAATGTCACTATGCATCATCATGCAACACACAATCATCACACATACAAAGATAGTACTCGATTCTATAATAGTCGTCAGGTACTGATCATAAATGGGGGAACCCGATGTCACATAACACTCGGTAAAATTTTCACCAATCATGCAAATGATCTCCAAGTCATCAAATGGTCTTCGAGTAAATGATGGAGGGGATTCCAATTATCACATATACTCAATATAATTTTTGCTCAAACATCTCATTGGCTCGGTGTCACATAGTCGTCAAACAAGCATTATGGATATCCATCAATCAACATCAAAGCAATCACACATTCATACAAGGGTGCACATAGGCCACACACATCAATCAATGTCACACAAGAGCAATCAAAGTACTTCGCCTACTCACTATCATAGTTCATCACAATCAGGTGAGGGAATCCCCTCACTATCCATTATCTTGTTCGTTCTCTCATCTAGAACATTATGCAAGGATTTATTAGTCTTTTTACATCTATTAGTTTGTTAGACCACTCCATTCTGGTCATTTAACGTCCAAAGACATTTTGATCATTTTCACCTCTAAAGGTGTCTTTAGTGTTTTATGCTCTTACGATAATTACTATTATTGCTATCCACTTGGTATATTATTTGTTAGCTCGATACTCGTGATACTCGAATCGAAGTTTATTAATAGTAGCGACTCTCTAGTTACTCCCACCACACGTTCATGTGGTACATCCTCTCACTTACATGCACAATATTCGTAACAATTCATCTTTCGCAATTGTTCGATACATGTTTGATTAAGGTTACTTTGAAGTATACTTTCCATTTAAGGGTATTTTAGACATAAACCACTCTCAATAATGTTTTTAGTCATTTTTAATCATTTAAGCCTCCCAGGAGCTAAATCCCACTATTATGGGTCATCCCTTCTCTTACGGGACTTAAAGAAGTCGAATTTAACCACCTAAAATAGGTAGTATCGATATCATACATGTAGTATCAATACTCCCTTGGCAAGTATCAATACTCTCTTGAGTATCTATACCAAAACTAGCTTCAAAGTTATCAAAAACTCTCTAGTATCGATACTCACACCCTTAGTATTGATACCAGAGGAGTAGTACCGATTCTACCCCTTACATTATCAATACTATCCTTTAAAAATGTCTAGAATTCATCATAGTTTATCTAATATTGACATTGTTCATAAAGTATCGATACTCAAATTAAAATATGTCTCATTTAGGCTTGGAACACTCAAGAATCCTCCCAAACACCCTAATTTGGTCCAATCAAGGTCTAAAGCTTAGGGAAGTCATTTAAGGTCATCTAGCACTATAAAAACACTATCTTCTCAACACAAATATCA